TTGTCTTCCAAATATAAAAGTACTTTAGCTAATAATTTCTAAAATATCAGTTGCCGTTGAATTTTTAATGGCAAAGAAATATTACCAATCATGACTTGAAACTACTACTGTATGAAATACAATTCACAGAAAAATAAGTCAACATGGAGATTGAAAAGAGAGAAAACAGGTTTATAGATACATTGGTTGTATTGCACCCTCTGATATATTATTCATTTGGTTTATTTTCCAACATAGGTAATATAACAAGGGGCTACTGTATATTGTATCATAATGCATTGTAAGTTTATATATTTAAATTTGTACATTTCTAAATAATGTGTACTATTTTTTGAAAATAGTATATATTTTTATGGTTTTTTGAAAGTCATAAAAAAAATAGCTGACTGCTTCAAGACTGATTAAGATATAATGTTTTCTCTTGAATTTTCAGCAAAAAACTAAGGGTATGGTTACAAAGGATTGGCGTCCTTTTATTTATGGTGGAATTGCTTCAGTGACAGCAGAGTTTAGTAAGTTTGTTTTAAATTATTATTATTATCAATAAAAAAAAAACATCTCCACAATAGAACAAAATAAATTTAACAAGCAATTTTTTATTGTGGCATCATCACAATGCTGGGCTGCAATTTTTAATCATATTTTTATTAATTTTTAAATTTAAAACATATGCTCTCCACCTCAAATTAATAGTGGCTTGCCCCTGTACATCATACTTTTCTGTTAGCAATATAGTCATGCCAGTCATCTAAGATCTTTCAGGGAAAAATTTTTGAATTGAAATAACATGATTCAGTTTACATCATAAATTCATAGTTAATCAGGGCCTTCTGCCCCTTAGCTTTTTATAATTGGTCTTGTCTTTCATTTATCTAATTCTGTTCTCAAGATTGAGGAAAGACAGACGGATGACAGTGGGAATTTTTAGGTCTACAGTTTTTCAAATTGCAGCTTAAAAAGAAAAAAATTTGAAAACTTTTGAGTCTAAATGGTTTGAAAATATTTAAGTGATATTTATTAAGTAATATTTAATAAATTTAAAAAAAAATTAATAAATNAAAAACATCTCCACAATAGAACAAAATAAATTTAACAAGCAATTTTTTATTGTGGCATCATCACAATGCTGGGCTGCAATTTTTAATCATATTTTTATTAATTTTTAAATTTAAAACATATGCTCTCCACCTCAAATTAATAGTGGCTTGCCCCTGTACATCATACTTTTCTGTTAGCAATATAGTCATGCCAGTCATCTAAGATCTTTCAGGGAAAAATTTTTGAATTGAAATAACATGATTCAGTTTACATCATAAATTCATAGTTAATCAGGGCCTTCTGCCCCTTAGCTTTTTATAATTGGTCTTGTCTTTCATTTATCTAATTCTGTTCTCAAGATTGAGGAAAGACAGACGGATGACAGTGGGAATTTTTAGGTCTACAGTTTTTCAAATTGCAGCTTAAAAAGAAAAAAATTTGAAAACTTTTGAGTCTAAATGGTTTGAAAATATTTAAGTGATATTTATTAAGTAATATTTAATAAATTTAAAAAAAAATTAATAAAT